CTTGTGGAGGTAATGCTATGAACTTTGACATGAATTAGGATTACAAAAAACACATTCTTGTGTTAGAATTGCAAATGGAACACCGCAGTTTTACGTGTTCAAGATCAGTCCTATATTCTTCATATACCTATTAGTGTATATCAATTTGCAAATAGATCTTTCTATGATGAAATATGGGTACTACATTGAGAGAAAGAAAAATTCAAGTTCTTTAGTTAGAGACGAGTTAAGTCTTCGATGGGTTTTCCATTTCCTTGCGTAGTAGTTCTATGCTCTTTTCAAGTATTCAGGATCATCGGTTTTACTTTCTATATTCTCACAAGTCACATCTAAGATTCTAGATAATGTTTTGAAGAAAAAGATTCGTTAAAATGTTTGGATGTGATTAGGAAACGGTAGAGTTCTTGTGGTGGATGGTGGAGGAAGTCAACGATGTGCCATACTTGGAGGTAACCCCGTGGTTCAAGCTCAGAACAACGGATGGGCAGGGATCGTTGTGAACGGATGCATCAGAGACGTCGATGAAATCAACGGCTGTGATATTGGAGTGAGAGCTGTGGCTTCTCATCCGATAAAGGCGAGTAAGAAAGGACTTGGAGAACAACGAGTACCTGTTAATATTGCAGGGACTCGGATTTGTGATGGAGAATGGGTTTATGCAGATACTGATGGGATTCTTGTCTCGCAGATTGAGCTATCTGTTTAAGACCAAAAAAAGGGCTTCGTTTTCTTTTTCTTTTGTATTTTATCAGATACTTGGTTTGTGTGTGTTGTTTCTGTTGTTCTCAATTGAACTTATGAAGGATTATTAGACTCGTTGCTTGAGCTATGAAATTAAACACAACAAAAAAAACATGTTTTTCTTAGTATTCAATACGTAGTAAAGAAAAACACGACAAGAAGATGATATTAGTTTTGACAGTAACACGAACAAACTGAACCAGTAGAAGTAGGTTGACAACCACCACCTTTTGTCTTCGGCCTCGAATGAGCATTGTGGCAACTCTAATTGCAGTGTCACTCCGAACGGTATTCTCAGTTCATAAACGTGTTGAGGGTGATTAATGGTTCATCATATACAAGTGAACCTAGTCGGAAACGTTTGTGGTGCGGCAAGTTACAATAAATTTGGCAATTACAATTTTAGTCTGAAATAATGTAAAAAATTACTTGTATTATTTATGCCCTTTTAGTGTCTCCTTTTCACATTTTTGTTTTTGGAATTTTTTTTTTCCACAAAATCGACATCTCCATTTATCGGATATGTCATCGACGATGTTTCCGTCCCCGGAATCGTTTCACCGGTGTCGTCC